GTCCCCGCGCTCCAGCGCAGTAAATAATAATTGCTACACGCACCTATGCAAAAAAATTAGAGGCCTGAGGAAAAACCAAGATGGCGGTGTAGGTGAGCAACTAACTAATCTGGAGCCTCACACAACAATTTCAAAACTACAACTAGCCGAAACCGGTTTGCTCAGTGGATAGAGCGGCACCCTCACTTTCGGACCCGATGGCCGACAGACCAGCTTCTCCCCGTAGGTGTCTGGGTCCCCCACGTGCCCCCAGAAACTAGATTTTAAAGTGATCGGGAGTTTGTTTCCTTTCTGGATGAAAAAAAGTCTCGCAACCAGTCGCCCGCCACCAGTCCGATTTGCGTGCCTCCGTACCTAGGCTTTTCAGCTTTTCAGCGCTTTTGCTCCTTTCTCTTTCAGCCAGCCTTCCTGTGGTTTTGGGTTATAGATGTTTTATCTATTAGTTGTAGTTTTTGTTGTTGTTGTTGTTGTTGTTTAATATATTTTATTGATTTTTTTTTTTTACAGAGAGAAAGGGAGAGGGATAGAGAGTTAGAAACATCGATGAGAGAGAAAAATCGACCAGCCGCCTCCTGCACACCCCCTACTGGGGATGTGCCCACAACCAAGGTACATGCCCTTGACCAGAATCAAACTTGGGACCTTTGAATCCGCAGGCCGATGCTCTATCCACTGAGCCAAACCGGTTTCAGCTAGTTGTAGTTTTGAAATTGTTGTGCTCACCTACACCACCATCTTGGTTTTTCCTCGGGCCTCTAATTTTAAATAAAAGCATTTGTTTGGATGTGGCAGTATTAATTGTTCATATTTTCCCATGGGTGGGGTCTAGAGGTCAAGTATTTAGCAGCACTGAGTAACTGAGAAAAAAAAATACTTTGTTATTCCCGGGCAGCATGGCTCAGTGGTTGAGCGACAACCTGTGAACCAGGAGGTCACAGTTCGATTCCCCTTCAAGGCACATGCCCAGGTTGCGGGCTCAATCCCCAGTTGGGGGCTTGCAGGAGGCAGCCTACCAATGCTTCTCTCTCATCACTGATGTTTCTGTCTCTCTCCCTTTACCTTCCTCTCTGAAATCAATAAAAATATATATTTTTTAAAAACCACTTTGGCCGAAATCAGTTTGGCTCAGTGGATAGAGCGTCGGCTGCAGACTGAAGGGTCCTGGGTTTGATTCTGGTCAAGGGCATGTGCCTTGGTTGTGGGCACATCCCCAGTAGGGGGTGTGCAGGAGGCAGCTGATCGATGATTCTCTCTGATTGATGTTTCTAGCTCTCTATCCCTCTCTCTTCCTCTCTGTAAAAGATCAATAAAATATATATTAAAAATCAAAACAAAACAAAACTTTGTTGCATCTGTATTCTCCAGAACATTCCAGGACCAGTGCCATAAGGAGTCGTAGTTAGACTTGCGGGGCTGTGTTTCTGTGGGTGGAAGTGGCACAGTACTTAGTGGTGGAGAGTTTTCCAGAAGATGCAGGTAAACATCAGCCCAAATCCCTGCTTTGTCTGCGGGTCCCCAGGCTCTGTGCCAGCCAAGCTGTGAGGTGGGGCGTGTCCTTGCGTCTGTCCGCAGTGACTGACTGACACCCAGCCCTGTACCAACTGGCCCACAACTGGGCTTGGAATGCTCGCATCCTGATTCTAACACACCCTCTCGGGGGAGGGAGACCTGTTGTATTTTCTGCCCTCAGCAGGGGTCAGGTGGCTTACCTGGATCCCTATGGCAAAAAGTCACGGCCTTCGTTTAGGTTCAGATACTGATTACCCTTCTCTGTGCTTCGTTCTCTCAGCGATGATACCGCTGTAGCACCCGCCTCACCAGGGGCAGGATCCCTGACCCCTGGACTCAGGGAGCACGGGGCTGACGGTCCCATGGCCTTGGAGAGGTTGAGGGGCCGTCCTGTGCCCTCCTGCTGTCTGTTGTGAATTCCCTGTCGCTTGGCATTTGCATGTTGTGTTGTAAGAGGCCTGGGGAGGGGAGAGTAGAGCAGCTGGCTGCCTGGCCTCTCCTGTGCCTCAGCCCCTCCCCCCATCACGTTTCCGCCTTGGCTTCCTCCCTCCACAGAGGGTGTCCTGTGGGGTGCGGAGCAGCCCTGTCCCCAGACCTGCCTTCCATCCTCTGACTTACCCTGCTGGGCGTACTCGTGCTGCTGAAAACCTCTCCTCTTCCCGTTGGAGCGATCTCGGTGTCGGAAGCTGTTTGCCGGGGTGTGGGTGTGGCCTTGGCTGAAGGGGCCTCCTGGCACACCAGCTGTTTCCTCCTGGCTCCGGTGTGGCTGTTCACTTCTCTCTGACTTTTTAGTCAGTTGGCTGTATTCCATGCCTTTCTTAGTCCTGCTGGGCAGGTATTTTTCAGAGATATTTGAAGCCTTCTTTGTGGGCAACTGAAGCTTCGCTCAGTATTTCCTGCAAAAGCAGCGAGGTGTTTGCTAATCAGAAGAGATCGGGCGTGTTCAGGGCGGTAAGGCCGTAGACTGGTGCTTGCTCAGCAGCAGGGAAGGTAACACAGCTGCTCCCACAGTGAGACTGTCTTTCCCTGCGGCTGGTGAATTAGAGCTGCCTTGCTGCTGACCGCAGTATGCTGTCTGTCTACTTCGGGCTGATTCCCAGGCTCTAAACCAGAGGCTCTCACCCTTCCTGGTGCCGCGGCCCTCCAATACAGCTCCTCATGGTGGTGACCCCAGCCATAACGTTATTTTCGCTGCTACTTCATAACTGTAATTTTGTGACTGTTATGAATCATAATGTAAATATCTGTTTTTCGATGGTCTTAGGTTGAGAATCGCTAGCAGGGTCACCTAAGACCAGGCGTCTTCAAACTACGGCCCGCGGGCCACATGCGGCCCGCAGAGGAGTCTGATCCGGCCCGCCAGGTTTTTTGGGCAGTGAGCGCAGCCGAGGTGTTACAGTAGGAATTAGTAGTTCATATAGTCCAGCCCTCCAGCTCTCTGAGGGACCGTGATCTGGCCCCCACTTTAAAAAGTTTGAGGACGCCTGCCTAAGACCATCAGAAAACACAGATATTTACATTACGATTCATAACAGTCGCAAAATTACAGTTATGAAATCGCAACAAAATAACTTTATGGTTGGGGGTCACCACCACATGAGGAGCTGTATTGGAGGGCCGCGGCACCAGGAAGGGTGAGAACCGCTGGTCTAAACCAACCAGGACACCTGGAACTGGTCTGGTAACTCACTGTTAATTGTCATTTTAATTGAGATAACTAGATTCACACACATGTAGTTTCCCAGAGTGGTAACTTTTTGCAAAACTAGTTTAATATCACAACCAGGGCCCTAACTGCCAGTGTCACCAGATTCCCACTGTCACGTGACTGTGCGTGTGTGCTGCTGCTGAGGTCTCTCACAGTGTGGAGTGCATGTCCGCCTCTAGGGCCAGGACCCTGGACCCTGAACAAACCACCACCACGGGGCCTGCTCTGCCCTCGCACGCCTCCTCCCACTCAGACTAACCCTGTGAGGCTCACGTCTGTGTCTGCAGTTTTGTGATTGCTGAGTGAATGGTCCATTCCATCGGAGGAAGCGGACTGATTCCACTTTGAGCGTTTTGTGCACAGGTTTTGGGGAGTGTTTTCTCTTCTCTTGGACAAATGGCCAGGGAGTGAGTGGCATGCTGGGTCCTGAGCCCTCGGTAACTGTGCGTCTGCCAGGCCCAGGCAGCCACCTGTCTGCGCTCTGGAGGCAGGCAGGAGCGTCCTGTGCAGCCCTCTGTCTCTCAGGTCCCACCCAGGACGGAGCCCTCTGTGTGTGTATAGATCCCTCTTTTCTTCGGTGGGAAGAAAACAAAACGTGTTGGGGGAGTCTGTGGCCTTTCTGCTGCCCGGCAGCCGAAGGGGGCCCAGAATGAGTTACCCTGGACCCCTTTTGTCCATCCACTCACTCACTCGTGCACATTTGGGTTGTTTCCAGAGTTCGCTGTTGTGAACCTTCGTGTGTAAGTCTGTGCAGGCGTAGGTGAGAGCCGCGCCGCAGTGGGCTGCTGGGCCTGTGATGAGTGTGGGTGAAGTGCTGAGGACTGTCCTGAAGGGGGCGCAGTCCATGGGAGCGCTCCAGTGCTTCACACCCTCATCCTCACTTTGACCCATGCTCTTTAGTGCACATGCAATGGTGTCTCGTTTCTCAGTGGCCAATGTATTTTCGTGAATAATTGAACTTGGGGCATGTTGTGATTTTTAAAAGGTGTATGATCTGGTCCAGCTGGCATGGCTCTGTGGTTGATTGTCGACCCATGAACCAGAAGGTCACACAGTTCAATTCCCAGTCAGGGCACAGATTCCCAGGCTGCAGGCTCTGTCTCCAGTAGGGGGCATGCGGGAGGCAGCCAGTCAATGGTCTCTCTCATCATTGATATCTCCATCTCTCCCTTCCTCTCTGAAATAAAAAATATATTTTAAAAAAAGTAAAAAGTGTATGCTTTGTAGAGGTTGGTGTCCTATAAGAATCAGTCGTGGTGTTTATAGTGTTCTTCAGGAAAAAATGGCAGCAGATAAGTGGATGCTACACAGACACGCTCCCAGGACCAAACTGGAATAACAGCTAAGATGGTGTTCTTGGGCCTCAGTGCTGGGGGGCGCTGCCTTTTGTTCTGTCATTGTGGAGGAAGGCGTCAGCGTTAAGGTTCTTAGCTGTGGGCTACCTGCTTCTCCCTGTTTCTCTCTCTCTCTCTCTCTCTCTCTCTCTCTCTCTCTCTCTCTCTGTGTGTGTGTGTGTGTGTGTGTGTGTGTTCAGGGGGTCTCTTCTGGACAGCATAGTGAGTGGCTCTTGCATTTTTATCCATTTTGACAATCCCTTCATTTTTCTTTTAGCTATTCACACTCTCTGCTCTAGGGGTTACGATCAATCCACTTAATTTTGAAAGTCAACTTAGGGTAGTGGTATCACAGCCCTCTGCACATACAATTGAAAACTGCTGTGCTGTGGTTGATTCCGTGTCTGTACACTTTATACTTTTTGAGTTTTCTTCGAATTTTCTTGTAGACTAGCCTACCATGGCCGACCAGCGGCAGCGCTCACTCTCTACCTCTGGGGAATCGCTGTACCATGTTCTCGGGCTGGACAAGAACGCAACCTCAGACGACATTAAGAAGTCCTACCGGTAAGAGCCATGCCTCATGGGTGTGATTGGCACCGACCAGTGTATATTTTTTTAATTTTTTCTTAGCCGACAAAGTGTTTAACACCTTTGTATGTGTAGTGTGTTCCCTTGTAGTTTACAATTGGTACATTAAGTTTTTCAGACTGTCTACCCTGGAGTAGACAGTCGTGCAGCCAGCAGCTCTGACGTGCTGAGCAGGGGCTGTTGGCCGTTGAATGACTGACTTGGTTCCACGCAGTGGTGACAGTCTGCTTGCCCTGTTGTAACCTCTGGCTGAACCTGAACGGAACCCTTAGGTACGGTGTCATTGTGAAGCTGTGATAACTAAACACACAACAGAGTGCCGATCAGACCCCTGCCTGCTGCTTTGTGCGGAAGGTGCAGTTAGCCGCTCGGACACTAGAGGGCAGGGCAGGGTTGCCTTTGCGCTGTGGAAAGGTGGAAATGATGGCAGAGATTTCTTTGACCCACAGTTCTTGACTTCTGTGGAGAGTAGGAAAGTGGGATGGTCATGGCAAATGTTCCTTCCCCTGGCCCTCCACCCAGTGGGTGAACATGAAACATGAGACCCAGCCATGGTTTGGTCTGCAGGAAACTGGCCCTGAAATATCACCCGGACAAGAACCCTGACAACCCAGAGGCTGCAGACAAGTTCAAGGAGATCAACAACGCGCACACCATCCTCACGGACGCCACGAAGAGGAACATCTACGACAAGTACGGCTCCCTGGGGCTCTACGTGGCCGAGCAGTTTGGGGAGGAGAACGTGAACACCTACTTCGTGCTGTCCAGCTGGTGGGCAAAGGTGAGGACGTGGAGCTGGCGGGGCGGCGGGTCACTGGCCCCTGCATGTTCATGTGCTCTCCCTCCTGACCGCGGTGCTCGGTGGGTGGCTGTGCCCCGCTTATCCTGTGTGTGGGCAGCTGTGTGCCTGTCAACTGAACGTTTTGCACCCTCCTTTCCTCGTTCAAAGCCCCGCCACCCGCGAGGACAGCATCTCCCTGCAGGGCTGCTCGCAGTCCCCTCTGGAAACGGTTTTCTTTACGCACCTGGAGGCTCTGTGTCTCCTGACCCCGTGTTGGTCCTTTCTTACACTCCTCGCTCTGGAGGAGAGCAGGAGCACCCGCCTTTCTGTCTGTCACTCTCATAGGGTGACAGCAGCTGTGTGTGGGTGCCCTGTTGGGGAGTCCCCAGTCTCGAGCCATCTCAGCCAGCGCCCACCTCCCTTCCCCCCAGGCCCTGTTTGTCTTCTGCGGGCTCCTCACCTGCTGCTACTGCTGCTGCTGCCTGTGCTGCTGCTTCAACTGCTGCTGCGGGAAGTGCAAGCCCAAGGCGCCCGAGGGCGAGGAGACCGAGTTCTACGTGTCCCCCGAGGACCTGGAGGCGCAGCTGCAGTCGGACGAGCGGGGTGAGTGCCGCCCAGGGCCTGGCTGCGTGCGTGGGGTGGCGCCAGAACGGGCCCTCAACCGTGTCCACCTGTCTTGTCAAACAGGAGGGCACTGACATGGGCCAGGATGTGTGTGGCAGCTGGGCCCGTTGAGGTTGAACGTGGACTCGGAGGTAAAGCAGACGCGGGGCTGTCCCTGCCCGCCAGCTGCGCTAGCTGTAGTCCTGGGGACCGAGCAGGTGGGGTGGGCCTCGGGCCAGCGGCGGCCTGAGGCGAGGAGGTGGTCACGCTGGGGGGAGGTCAGTAAGCAGCCTCTCCCTCCAAGTGCTTGTCCTGCCACTTCTGACCCCAGCAGAGCGACGGAGCATTGTCACAGGAGGATGTGTTGACAGGGCGCATGGTGCACTCGGAAGGCCGCCATCCTCACGCGATGAAAATGCGTGTGATTGCTTTTCAGAGGCCACAGACACGCCGATTGTCATACAGCCAGCGTCCGCCACAGAGACCACCCAGCTCACGGCCGAGTCCCACCCCAGCTACCACACCGACGGGTTCAATTAAGTTCGGGAGACGCTGTGATGTGCGGATCAATCAGCACTGGCCACTTCGACCTTCGCATCATGAACTGTAGTCACAGAGGCGGGAGGGAGCCGCTCTGGCCCGGGAAGGACCCTCCGCCTCTGTGCCCGCCCACCCGCCAACCCCAACACGTGAAGTGCGTAGCATGCAGTATTTAAAGCAGTTTAGCTACGGTCGCCGTCTTCTGTTTTTCCTTTCTAATAGCATGTGTGGGGTCCGTTCCATGTCTGTCTGTGTTGTGGACGTGCTGCAGCGAGACCGCACTGAGCAATGGCGGCACCGCCTGGGCTGTCAGGCCGCCGCCATGAGCTGGCCGCGTGGGGTGGTGTCCCCGCAGTGGAGGGGCCGCCCCGCCCGTGCCCCTGGGCCGGGGCAGGCGCTGCCTGCACAGCTGGGGTCTGTCCAGCGGGGCCTGTGTCCTGTCAGTCCCCGGGGGTTGGTAGCAAGGACAGTTCTTCAGCTGCTGCTCGCCTTGTGTGCATGGCCTGGTGACGGGCTTTTCGGGAGGAATGTGTTTGGGGACTGTGGGAGCTCCTGATCTGCGACCTCAGCCTGGATCCAGCCTGAGCCCCCGTGCCACGAGCTGGGCCGATGGCCACCACCAGCGTCTCCCCTCTCCTTTCTCTGAGTCAGCCTCCACGTCCCTCCAGGCCCTGTGGCCTCTTGGTAACCATTTTGGATGTCGAAGCACCACAGTAGCAGCCGCAGCCCAGGTCGCCAGTCAGGCCGAGTCCAGGCTGCAGGTGGCGCCTGGCTGCCCAGCCTCCTCTCTGCTTTCTGAGCCCCTGTCCCCCTCTTCCTGCAACTGCTCAGCCAGAGCCCTCAGGGTCCTGAGGAGGTCGCGGGGTCAGAGGCACACTTGGCATGGGAGAGGTGGCCCCGGGGGCCTGGCGCCCTTGGCTTGTCAGCCAGCAGCCGGACCAGGATCTCGCTGCTGCTGCTGCTGCTGCTGCTGCTGCTGGGGGCAGAGCCTTTTGTGAACTGCTGCACGTCCGTCCTCCTTTCCGGCCCAGGCCTGGTGGGTGGTGCCCTGCTTCAGGGACTGAGGAGATGTGGGTTACGATGTACCAAATAGCAGGTTCCCTGCTGGCCCTACACCAGCTTCTGGAGGCTCATGGGGCCCATGTGGGCCTGAGTCTGCAGAATGAATGTATTCGCTGCTCCTGTGCCGCTGCATCCCCAGGAGAGTGAAGGACAAACGGGAGCGCTGGGCGACATGGTTCCCTGGCTCAGACAAACCAGACATGTTCCTGAAGCCACGTCCTCCCCTGTGGCCCTTGCTGCCCGCCAGGCTGTGCTAGCCAGAGCTGGCGGGGGGGGGGCTGGCCACTGGCAGAACCCTCCGTCCTAGGACCGTCCAGGCTGGCCCTCCTGCAGGCCAGCCTAGGTCCTGGGCAGCTGCTTGGTCCCATTTTGTTTTTTGCTCATTGTGGTTAGTGATCATGAAGATGTCCAAGGAGAGGGTATCTCTGCATTGTGATGTTGGGTTAGAACTAATTTGCTAAAACCAGGCCTCTCCTGAAAGGACAAGAAACTCATTGTTTGGCCCACCGGGCAACGAGGGAGGCGGTGAGACCAGGCTATCCCTGTGCCGCCCGTTCGGAGCCTGCGTGGTGGCCGCCGTCCCCGGGAGTGCTCTGGGAATGGTTTGGGCAGTGAGTGCTGTTCCCCAGAACGATCCAGAACCCGGCTAAAACCTCCGCCCAGCCAGGCCCTCCATGTGTGTCCCCGAGTCCCTGCCAGGTGCTGTGGTGGCCTCTCCGAGGCTAAAACCAGCTGATGGTGACGGTGCTGGGGACCGCGGGTGGCCCGAGGGCAGGCCCTTCCAGAGTGTGACTGGTTGCTTTCAAGGCGAAGGTCCTGGTGCGTGTCCTCTGCTTGCCTGGCCTGTTTGGTGAGCAGAGTTCTCGAGCCTGGAGAGACGCTGGTCCTGCTAAGTGGGGGCAGCCCTGTGCCTTCCAGAGCTGGGCTGGGGGGCCAGTGCTGGTGTCAGACGGCAAGTGGTGTGTGTGGCCCAGGGTGTTGGGGTCTGTGTGAGAGGAAGCCCATCCGATTTGCTAAGGGGGCTGGCCTGCCGGGCAGCCAGTGCTGTGGGCGCCCTGAGGGTCCGGCAGCAGGCCCGGTCCCTGCAGGAAGCATGTCTGACTGCAGCTCTTGTTGTGTAGGTTTCTCTTCTGCTCAGTGCCGTGTCTCGCCTTGTCTTCCTTTTGGCTCTGTTCTCATTTCAAACTGCTTTAGATATTACACTCGGTATGTGAGCCTCCCTCGCTGTCCCATCCGTCCATACAGCTGCCCCGCTGGGATCTGGTACAGGAAGAGGTCAGAGTGGCTGTGGCTGGAGCAGGCAGTGTCTCCGGGCTGTCAGCCGCTGGGTGTCACGGCCAGGCTCCTGCCAGGACCATCCTCGGTGTTCTAGCGCCGGCCGTCTGTGCCCAAGAAGCCCACACAGTGCTGCCGGCATCGGGGCATGCTCGGCCTCCCGCCACCAGGCTCTCGGGAGGGGCGGGGAAAGGGGCCTGTCTGTCCTTCCTGGCTCTCATCTCGGCTCATCTTCCCGGGGCGATGGTGACGGGGGTGAGCCAGGTGGTGATCTCATTCCTTCCTGTATTCTTAGCTGTGAGCCCGTGCGACCCAGGACTGACCTGCTTGCTTTGTTACTTTGGCTGTGAACCTTCCGCCTATGGAATTGGCGAAAGCTACATTTTTACAGTCCTGCCAGGCACGGTTAGTGCCGTCTGTGCTGCAGGTGTGGACAGTGGTGTATCTCCGTGTGTGTACATATGTGTATGTATATATCGTGCAGCAGGCCGCCTGCTGCTGTCCAGGGGCAGTGCAGCAAGTACAATAAAGGTTGGCTCCAAACAGCCTGCTTCTGGGCGAGGCCGGGCGGGGGGTCCTGAGAGCCCTTCTGCTGGCTGCTCAGGGACAGCGCCGACGCCACCGCACACCTAGAGTTTGGGCAGGTGCCGGGCGTGTGCCTGAGCCACTGCAGTGTCGGCTTTTCGGGGCGGGTGCCCATCACAGTCACACGTCCTGTGTGACATCTGGGCGGTGTAGAAACCCATTCCACTTTGGAACATGTAAAACCAATTTTCTAAGCATCAGATACAATCAGTGACCAACTGCGTCCACAGTCTCTGTGGGACCACAGATGGGCCCAGGGCTGCGGAGCGGAGCAGGGCCACGCCGCCCCTCCAGGAAGAGCGAGCGGCCTGGGCCTGGCCACACCTTAGGCTTTGTTTCCCTGGAGGACGGACTCATGTTTCACACTAAGGGAGGGAGGCGGTTTGCACTGAACTGTATTGACGGTTTTTAAAACTTAAGTGCGATGTGTGGGAAGCATTGTCCGCACTGGCTTTGTCCTGGGAGCAGACCTGGCGGAGCCGGGGTGCCTCAGAGTGGATGAGGGCCAGGTGGGAGGGTTAGGATGTTCCCCACAGTGACCTCCATCTTGTATGTCTGAATGTTGACCTAGAATAAAGATAACTGTTGTAAAATAAATGTTTTCACTGCAGACCAGGCGTGTCTTATTTAGTTCTCCTGCAAGAATCCTGTTGGCCAGCCCACCTTGGGGGGTCCCTCCTCAGTCCCCTGGGGGCGGGAAGCCACGCCCACCTGCCTGTTCCAGGGATGGCTCGATGTCCCTCCCCTCCGCTTTCTAACTGCTGAGACCGGAGTGTAAAAGGAGCCCTGGGCCAGGGCAGCCCCCAGGGCTGTGCCGGCAGGCCAGGGGCGCCCGCACTGCCGCCCCCATCCCCGGAGACAGCAGCTCCACTCCTTCCACCCAGCTGCATGAGCTGCTGCCAGTGCTTGGCACAGTGGGCGTGGTGGCCCCTCTCAGCTGCGCCAGTGCTCTGTGCTGACCACCTTTGGACCTGGCCACTCAGGCCTGCCCCACCGGGACATCCCTGTGGCGAAAACTCGGGTCCTCACTCCTGGACACCACCGTCCCCCCTGGGTCATCTGTCTCTGAGCCGGTGGTGCCCATTCCTCCTCAGGGTACCTCCTGGGAGGACCCATCCTCCCACCACGCTGATGGCAAGAGGAGAGATGTCCCTGCACTTAGACCACCTTTGGTGCCTGTGCCTTGCCCCTGGGATGAGAGGTGCCAGCTCTGCTTCCATGAGTGTGTCCTGGGGCTTCGTGTCCAGCCACGTGTCTCCTGCGCACACGGGCGGGAGCAGCCACTCTGAGCCGGAAGGCCCGGGGCTGTGGGCAGAGCTGTCTGCGGGGGGAGGGCTGGGGCTTTGGTCTTAGCTCAGGGCAAGGCAGAAACATTCTGAAAAGGTTAAACCTGCACGGGCTCTGGCCAAGTCGCTCAGTCGGTTAGAGCATAGTCCTGATGCAACCAAGTTTGGGTTTGTTCCCCGGTCGGGGTCACTCGGAGGCCTGCCCCATCAAGAAGCATCCTGGGCCTGCGCCCTGACCGGGCGTGGAGGTCGTCTGTGTGTTCTCACTGAGCAGTGTCCGCCAGCTGAAGGGCCACGGCGCCTAGGCCGCGCTTTTGGGTGTGGTGGTTTTAGTTCTCAGGAGCAGGAGGAGGCCTGCCCCACCCTGCGCCTTCCCTGGGCTGCAGGCCCCTCCCACCCCCTGCCAGTCTTGGTGTTCTGAGACATTTTTCCTTGTTTACTCTTCTTTTTTTCTTTTCTTTTTTAAAATATTTTTTATTGATTTCAGAGAGAAAGGGAGAGGGAGAAAAAGATAGAAGCATCAATGATGAGAGGGTCATTGAGCAGTTGCTTCCTGCATGCTTCCTCCTGGGGTTCAAGCCTGCATCCCGGGCATGTGCCCTTGACCAGAATCAAACCCGGGGCCCTTTAGTCTGCAGGCTGACGCTCTATCCACTGAGCCAAACTAATTAGGGCTTGTTTACTCCCCTGATTATCCTAATTAGACCACGATTATATTCATTATTTTCTCTGTGGGATTCTATGGACCATCATGAAGTAATCCAGTCCTCCAGGCCCCGCTGCTGGCATGGGTCCCTGCCAGGGACACAACCAGGGACCAGGTGTTAGCAGGGGTGTGGTCTACAAGGAAGGGCGGGGGTTGTTGGAAGCCTCTCCACCCCTCACCCCTCCCCCTCCCCCACCCTGCGGACCTGACAGAGGGCTGTGTCCAGGTGGCCCAGTGGGGGGCGGTGCAGGGCTGGAGGAGCTTGACCCAGAGGTGAGTGGTCCCCGGGGGCGCCCTGGGGCCGGACCTCCCACTGGGGTCTGCCGCGTCAGATCTCCGTCTGACCCCATGGTCATGTCAGTCTGCATGACCGCTTGAAGGAGTTTATTGCAGAAGCTGGCGAGAATGGTCTGCAAGGAACACGTGGATTCCTGTGGCGAGGACAGGCAGGGACCTGGGACCTGGGCGCCAGGACCACATGAGAACTTCCTCTGCTCAGTAACCATGGCAGGACCTGGAGAACCAGGGGAGGATCCGCAGGGCACGTGCGGTCCACAAGCAAAATGTGACGTTCTCCCCTAGCTGCCGGCTCCGGGCACCCCAGCCATCAGCGAGCAGGTCCCCTCCTGGTGGTGGTCTGCCTGTCTCGCTGTCCCGCACCCCCACTCCAAGTCTCGGAGAGGTGGAGCCCCTAAGCTTCTGCTTCAGAGGGGTAAACCCTGCTGGGCACCCCAGTTTATTTATTATTCCTTTTTAAAAATATATTTTATTGATTTTTTACAGAGAGGAAGGGAGAGGGATAGAAAGTCAGAAACATCGATGAGAGAGAACCATCTATCAGCTGCCTCTTGCACACCCCCTACCGGGAATGTGCCCGCAACCAATGTACATGCCCCTTGACCGGAATTGAACCTGGGACCTTTCAGTCCGCAGACCGACGCTCTATCCACTGGGCCAAACCGGTTTTGGCTGGGCACCCCAGTTTAGATGCTGATTCCCCAGAACTTAGGAAGTGTCTGAGGCACCGCCCCCCACTGGGACAAGGCCCCTCTCCCCTAGATGCATTGTTCCCCAGCCCTCAATGCCACTGGGACTGGGGTGCATGGAGCCTGAGGGAAGGTGAGGGCTCAGCTAGCCCCACATCCAGCCACGTGGCACCTGGTGATCTTGGCTCCTAGCTGGAAGCCCATTGGTGAGCAGATGCGCACCTGGAGGAGGCCCACCTGCCTAGCATTTGCCCCAGGGGATATGTCACCCCTGAAGTGGCCTTTGCTTCCAGCCCAGTTCCTCCTCCAGCCCCATCACAGACCTGGTCCCACAAACCCCATGTGGGAATTGCCCCCTTGCCCTTTTAACCCAAGCACAGCCAAATCTACCTGATACCCCCTGCCCCACCACCTCCCACCTCTGAATCCTATGCACCCTCCCCTCCCCTCCCCCAAACACTCAGCTTGACCTTGAAGAGCCTGAAACGCCCCCGGCCTCCAACCTAAGGTCTGGCCCAGGGGCCAGAGCAGAAGGTCTTCTCCCAGGACTTCCCCCGAAGCCCTTGGGACCGCACCAGGCCTGGGGCCCAGAACTCCAAGGGAGGTGCTTCCTGCCTCCAGGTGTGCCAGCTGAGGCCCCAGGAGGCCCTGCCAGCCCTCCAGAGCCTGTGGGCATGTGCAGCATGCCTGCCTCCGTGTGACAACCACACGTGCCTGTGGCAGCCACTGCGGGGAAGGGTCAGCACCTCACAGGCTGACGAACCTGAGATTGACCTGGAGACACCATTCTCAGGTTGGTCAGTCCTGGAGGCACTGCCCAGGGGCAGCTGGCAGAGCCCTCAGCAGGCAGGTCTCTCCTGAGTGCACCAGAAGCCTCCGAACCAGTATAGGAAGTGGCTCCAGGTCTGCATCCTGTCCAACTGTCCCTCCCCAGGTTCTGTGGAGAGGTCCAGGCTGCAGCCCCCTCCTCTCACTCTCTCCTCCAGGTGAGACGCTCAGACAGGCACACGAAGGCCACTGGCTCCCCAGCCCCAGTCGGACGTCAGAGAGCACCCGGGGTGGGCGCATCCACCCTGAGGGCACCGAGTCTTCTCAAACTGGACTCTCCTCGCGTGTCCGTAGCTTTCTCGGTGCTGCTCCCTGGACAGCTTCGGACCTTGGAACTCGTCCCGTTGGCTCCCTATTGCCTCCGCACGGCTGTCTGGGAGGTGACCCACTTCCACCCCGCCAGGGGCCCCTGGCAAGAAATGGGCCCAAGAAGTCTAACGTGTGGCCAGGTCTCCCTGAGCTGGAGGAGACGGGCCCATGGGGGGAGGGGGCACCTGCACCCTCCTCCTAGCACACAGGCATGGTGTCCATGGGTGGACTGCTGCCGCCGCACGAGCATGTCTGGTGGTGTCGGCTTGTGCACGGGTTAGTTTTCTGGGAGCTGGACTGGGGCCCCACCCAGGAATGACCTACCCCCACCCGGCTACTCTAACTGCACCCCAGTCCTCACCCACAGAATGCGTCTCCCCTGCCTCGGGGCCCTGTCGCACCTCCGGAGGGGCCAGGCCTGCAGCAGCCTCAGGTCCCCAGCACTCAGCACAAGAATGAGTGAGCGAAGGGACAGGCCTTGGCGACATGGGATGGGGAGACTCACCAGGTTCGGGAGAAGCCCTCCTGCTGACCTTGGGCCCCAGGTCGTTCCTCTGTCCCTGGGCCCTGGCCACCCCTTGGACAAGCCTCCCGCCTTTATCTGCCCACCCTTGGCCACACCCCACCCAGTGACTTCCTGTCTCCGCCCATGACAAGCTTTTCCATTACATGGCCTTTGTGGGGGGTGGGGAGACAAAGACACTGGGGGACAGGAAAGAGGCCGAAGTCAGGGCGGGAGGGCGGGGGAGGGCGCTGGAGCCTGACAGCTCACCTAGAGCCGCCCAGCCATCGTTACCGTGCGCCCTCACCCAGGCAAGCCTGCCACCGGCGGCTGAGGAGCCAGGAGCGGCAAAGGTACGTCGCACATAGTGCACAGGCGACCGGCTGACGCTCTGCCCCTCCTGCAACTGGGGATCCGGCTAGTGGCTAGGACCCGCGCAGCACGCCCTCCTGCAGCTGCCCACGCACTGACTTCCGCTGGCCTCCTGCCTAGTTCACACACTGGGGGTGGGGCGGCTGCCTGCAGAGGCTGCCTGGCGACCCAGGGCCCGGCTCTGGCCTCTCCTAACTCTGGCCTGAACCTGAGGCAGGCACGGCCAGGGCGCCAGAGGACAGACCACACCTCTCCATGCTGCCTTGCAGTTTGGGGACGCAAGCTGCCACGCAGCTGGCAGCTCGGGGGCCATGCCCAAGCCCAGTCTCAGGCAGAACAGCATTCCCAGGCGCCAGCTTATTGGTCAGAATTTCAGTTTTTCTAAAAATGTATTTATTTTTCGAAAGGTACAGGTGAGTTACGACGGAAAGGCTGTTTAACCAGAAGAGTCAGGAGGCAGGTGGTTGGGTGGGGACGCAGACGGCAGAGGCTGGCGCTGGCTAACCCGTGGAGGCCACTTCCTCCTCGTCGCTGCCTTCGGGGACGGCGTCTGTCCCAAAGTAGCGGTCCCCGAAGTTCCCTAGAGAAAGCAGCAGACCTTGTGGTGGGACGCAGGCCCGG